GTCCCCCAAACATTCAGGTGCTTTAAGATATCAGCATCTCGGGCGGTGGGAATAGGGAATCTCTGGCACACTCTGGGCTAGATCAGCACCAGCTCAGGAAGGTTGTCAGATCCTGATGGAAAAGTACTCCTCTCCTGATCCTTTGCTCTCCTACATGAGTGAAGGGGGTCCTCTGCTTCACTAGTGGATTCTATCACCCTCTCCTTGAGAACTGCTGGGCTCTGTGTTAGGTGTACCCGTCTGCTGACTTAGCTCAAAGGCAAGCCAGAACCCTTCCCCTGTGACTGGCAAGATGTGGCATTTAGAGAAATGTCCAGTCTAATAAGAGATGACTCCTCATACTGCTGATTATCTGTTACTGCTGCCCTGAGCTGGGGCTCAAGGGCTGGGAAATCTGTTGGTGCTACCCTGCCTTCCCATTATCCACCTCACCGACGGCCAACACGATGTGCTGTTTGGCCGGTTACTTCCTATTCACCCGCGCCTCTTTTGTCCCTAGACCAGACGTGTTTACCTCTCTGCTTTGCCAACTTAGCCAGCAGCTTTAGCCAACAGGCCTGGCCATTCTGTCTGTTATGGCTTTTACACCCTCAACAGGATTCTGTATTTTGTCCCAAGTTCCTATTGAGGTTACTCCCATTACTCTAAGGAGGGAACAGTAGTTGTCATAGAAGCATTTGCGCTTTATATAAAGATTAAAAAGAGAATTTGCTTTTATTTCCCAAAGTCTGTCTCTGGGGTTGAGACACTTGAACTCAGGCAGAGGCACAAGGCTGGGCAGGGCTGTCCTGAGTTTAAGGGCATGTCCCTGCATCTCACTTAGACCTCAGAATCTCCTCTGTAAATTCCACCTGCCTAGTTCTCCCCTTTCATCCTATCTCTTTCCACATCATCAGAGAGAAAAGGCTCTGTTCAAAAGGAAGAGAAAACACAGCATCTTATTTTCTTTTTAAAAAATTTTAAACCATGGAAAAGATATTTTTAAAGAAATCTACCCAGAACATTAAAGTTCATTATATTAAGTATTTATCATGTGTGAGAATAAGTATATAACTGCAGCTAGTAGGTCTCTTTCCCTAATAGGTTGTATGAATAGGGTTTGCTTGGTGCCAGTCCTATGCCCTTTTCTCTCCTGTCATCTGTAGTTGTGATCAGAAAAAGATATCCGCACTGCACTGTCAGAATCTCCTTTCACTATGTTGTGTGTTAAATTACCGTAGCTCTTTATTTCATGAAATAAACTGTGAATTTTTTTTGTGGGGGGGTTGTGCAGGCTATGTAAAAATTTTGAAGCGGAGAAGTTTGATCCTGAAGTAGCTTCTCTGAAGTAGGCTTTGGTAGGTAATTGACTTGACAGCCGCTCTAGATATGTCTCACAGGACAGGAAGGAATGAGGGAAAGGTGGGCCATGATTGGCCACTATGTAGTTTTGTTTTGGTTCTTCCCATTCTCCACCATTCACTGGAAACTTCCTTCCAGACCTGCCTGAGAAAACAACTTCTGAACTGTGTTTGGTTTGGAGGGAGGAGGCAATTCTTTAGCTATATGGTTGGACTGCCAGGCTTCCATGAGGGCCATTGAAAGGCTCTCAGGTTGAATGGAAACTAGAAATTCAACGATCGGGCCCACTGATGGCAGCATCTGATCCTAGATTGTTAACATCATGAAAGCAGTCACTGTACCATTGGAAGCAGATACAGAAGGACTGTTGGGAAGTGAGACTCTTGCACAATGGTGGGGAGTGACCTTGCCAGCCACTGGGGACTCTCCCGGAGCCTGTACTAAGATCTTTTCTCCAGGGGGTATGAATTGGCAGTTAAAAGGAAATCTTTTCTCTTAGAAACTCCTGGTCATTGTGCAGGATGGTATTTTGATACTTGGAAATCAGGATCTCAAGAGAGTCTGCCTCTAAGCCAGTTCCCCAGGAAGCCTTTCCGATGAGGAAGCTATAGCTTCCATAGGTAGCTAGAAAACAATACCTCTCCTAACCCTGTTAAATCGAGAAAAAATTATGGAAACTTAAATTTTGAACTCAAAGCCTCATTTGCCTCTCCTACTGGAGCGAACCCATTCTAATAGCAAAACAGCTTCACTGCTACAAAAGCATCCAAGTTTTTAAAAATCTGCTTCCCCCTGAAGTTACTGAGTTTGATGAGGTGTTTTAAATCACTGTGTTGATCCTCTTCTGAACTACCAAATCTGTGTCTTTGGCCTTGATGAAAATAATTATTGTATTCACATCCTCTACCCCACACCACAGTCAGGGCATGAGGTGCCTCAGCGATCCTTTCCCAGGCCTGGCAGCATCCGCTTACTGGAGCTGGACTCCCAGGTCACCTCATGAGAACACAATGGCAGGAAGAAAATCTGGTCCTGGCTGCTTCCCCTGTGGAGAGGAATCAGGAGAGCACTAAACGTGGATGGATTTTGCCCTCAGCGCCTATAAAGCAGGTTCTCAGGCTTTTTTTGGAGGGGAAGGGGATATTGTCATCTTTGGGTTTGTCAACCAGGAGGTCAGAGTCACCCCGCGTCCTAACCTCTCTGAAATCATGGCAGGAAAGGAGCTGCCACAAGCCCCTTTCCTACTGAGTAATGTTTGGGCTGTTCCATGTGTTAGACATTCCAGATCATTAGAGCTAGGTAGCAGCTGCAGGAGCCTTTCATTGGCTATGGCCAGTCAGCTCTCAGCTGAGCTTCCTAGGGCCAGTGCAGCAGGGCCAGAAGTTGGTGTAGTATGAATTGAAATAAAAATAGATCATTGCTTTGTACACACAAAAATGTAATAACGATGGTGCTAATTTCCTGGTATAAATAAGCACTGCCAAGGGTTAAGGGACTGGTGACAAAAAAATCCAGGTTCCTATTTGAGAGGAAAAGATTCTATGTAGAACAGGTTCTTTGAGGCTCTGGTAGAGAAAGCAGCCTCGGTGAAACCTGAACCCGACTCTGGAGTGGTCCAGTGCAATCCAGCAATGGAAGAAATGTGTCCAGATGAGGGTGGCCATTGAATTTCTTAAGGCTAGTGTCACCTTTGTAGCCTCTGTTCACTCTCACTGGAACAGGTTGGCAGAGAGCTCCAGGGTCTCCCTCGGTTACCTTCTGCCCCTCTACTTCTTCCACTCATGGGAGCACCTCTATTGCTTAGGAAGATTAATGTAATCTTTCTTAAGGAAGTGGAAAGTTTATTTTCATTAGAAATCCACAGCCTAGGAAGAAATGTTTCCTAACAACATAAGCAAAAACAGCATGTTAAATTTGTATGTTTCCTTCTCGAGCTGCTTTCCCATGACTTGCCAAACATCAGGCTATTGAGGGGCTTTAGGTGTGACACTCTGGAAGTCTAGCAAAGCTTTGCAGACAGATGGTGAGCCCAGGCAGGAGGAGCGAAATGAATGGTTCTGGTGCTTTAGACTTCCGGGGTAGGGACAGAGAATAGGCGGTCTCCAGGTCTGAGGTGGGTGCTGCCTGTGTGTGCATGTAGGTGAGTGTGTGTAGATGGGTGAGTGCAGCACACAGGAGCTCATGGAAGAGCAGCTTTCTATGTCGTGGCAAAGAAACAAGCTGACAATAGAGATCTATCTTTATATTTTTAAGAAAGGGATGTGGGGGGATCAGCTAAGGTCCATCACTGTTTTGGGGGGTTTTGGTTTTTGGTTTTTTTGTCTCCCTTAATCCCCATAGATTGTCAGCTGTAAGTGAAACTCCCTAGTGGAAAACAGGGGAGCCCTGTGCTAGGAGTCCCCATAAACATGTACTGTAATTCTTTGTATATAGAAAAAATTACTGTAAAGTAAAGTTTAACTTTACTCTTATGGCCCTTGCCCTGTGTTGTGTTTTGTTGTCCATGGGGAAATGTAGCCCAGCAGGAGGGAGGATGGGTTTGGGGTGAGAGCAGTAGCCAGTCCCTGAGCTAGTTCCCAGATGGGGACAAAGTGGAGCTGAGCCCTTCCTCCAAGCACCTCACTGGTGTGTGGGCTTCTTCCCAGTAGTCATGAGATTTTAAATATTTTTCAATTTTGGGAGTGGCTGGTGTTAGTTTCAGTCCTTACACAGGAAGTCTTCATCACCCATGAAATAAAGGTATTTTGAGGAATTGGTTTTTAAAAAGGAAGTGGAACCAAAGCACTTCCTGAGTGTGAAACTGACCATCTCGTCCAAGTTTTTAGTTCTTCAGAGTTAGGTGCTGGGCACTAGAGGACCTGGCCCTGGCCTAAGGCAGGAAATCAGAGGAAAAGGGGCCAAGACTCCATACTGGAAAGGGCTGCCATATGCTTCCTTTTGGTTGGATAGGAAATGTCAGCCCTGTCTACAGTAAGTAATACCTGATCATCCTTCAGAAATATTTGGGTCTCCTAGGCCCAAAAACACTTTGGGAGAACCTTGGGATACCTCCCCTTGACTTAGTGCTAGAGTTAACTTTTCACTCATGATCTTCACAGCCCTGGACTGGGCAGCAGACACCTCATTTTACAGATAAGAAACTCAGGCTGAGCTTAAGTCCCTTTCTAATTTAGTAGCTGAATTGGATCCCAATCTGGATCCAGACCTATGTCTTGCAGAACCTATGGTTTTCTACCATTAAACCACATTATAGGATGCTGACGGGAAGCTTGGGAACTGAGCCACAGGCATGACTAATGGACCTAGGTGTGTCAGACTCAGTAGAACATGCCAGTCCAGGGTAGAAGTGCTTGATCCTTTGATCTCTGGACACCACTTAGGTGCCTGTCTTGCTCTTCTCAGCACCAAGAAGTAATTCTGAGCTTTGCATTGCCCCAACCCCAGCCTCTCACCCTATCTTTGCCCCCACTAAAGTACAGGAAACAGCCCTTTTGTTTCTCTTTTATCTCAGCTGCAACCCTGGGGTGAAGTGAACTTGGTTTCCAAAGTTAAATTAGAGCTGGAAGGAGCCTTAATATAGGGAGTGAGGCCAGCGAGGTGGCCCAAGAATAAACTAGGTGTCTTGACACCCAATCTATACAGCAGGGAAAGGGGCTGAATGTGATTCACAGTGCATTGATTTTATTTACAAATCAGAAGCCACTTAAGTAATCTGCAGACACAAGCGCTGTCCAGGACAGAAACCTGGTGTCCAAATCAGCCCTTACCCTCCTGATGCCCACCAGTCAGCCCAATGCTGCATCCGTTCTATGGGCCAGCACAGGCATGTGCCACCTCTGCTGCCATGTGGACCTGGGGTAGCTCACACATTTGGCCACCCAAGCCCAGACGAGCTAGGTCCAGGCCCTCTGGGGGAATTCCCCCAGGCCAGGTGAGTGGTGACTCAGTGATGACAACAGCTGTAGAAGTACGGGTTTGCCTTCTGGCCCAGGTCCACGCCCTTGTCCTCTGTCAAAGAGAGAGGTGGCAGCTTGGCACCATTCTGTTGGGGGACCAGGTAAGGTGAAGGGGGCCAGATGCTGAGGGCCTAGAGGAAGTCTCCAGAGAGGCTAGGGAAGCACACCTGTCATCACCTGGAAGGCGGCCACACTGACGTAATCCTCTGCCACTTTCTGGAAGAGCTCGTCTGGCAGGAAAAAGGATGATCAGTGAGGGCCCAATGCCAACAGCCCTGGAATCACCCAGTGACCCAGCCCTCTAGGCTCTTCTCTGCCTCCTCTGGTACCCCTGCTTGTTCCTGTTGTGAGGCCCAGGACAGCACTTACCCACACTCTGGCCTGTCTTGCTGGATGTTTCAAAGAGCTGAGCTTTGATATCTGTAAAGAAAACTGCATAAAGCCTCATACCTGAGAACCAGGTAGACACAGGCAAAGGGGAAGCCTAACAGTTCATGGATTCGTCTGGATCCCACAGGTTGAGGGGAGCAGAAGGCCTTCCCAGGAGATCATGCCATGGCTGACAGGGCAGTCCCTATTTTCTGTGACCCACCCGAGCAGCCACTTCCCTCCCCCATCCCCAGGGAGCTGAGGAGCAGCTACTATCTGCATAGTCCTGGACATCGTGGAAGTCCACACGTCGCCGCCGCCTGTCCTCCTCCAGCAAGTCACTCTTGGTGCCACACAGGTAGATCTGACAGCCCTGAAGCAGAAGACAAGGTCAGGGTTCCCCCCATGGACCACCAGAGCCCCAGCCCATGGTCCTCTGGTGAGGTCTAGCCACCTACCTCCTCTAGGTTTTGCAGTTCCTTCACCCAGAACTTGGCCCGCTCAAAGCTGCTGCTGTCCGTGAGGTCTTAGTATGGCGCACGTAGGAAGCACAACCAAGCGTCAGGGGCTGTTCTGTAAGGCTGACCAGGTACCCACCCCTTCTTGTTTGAGGAACAGGCCAAAACCCCCCTTACCGTAGCAGACGATGGCAGCCTTGGCACCCCGATAGTAGATTCGGCTCATGGCCTCGTAGCGCTCAGAGCCCGCCGTGTCCTGAAGGGCAGGGGGAGACTCAGCCTTGGCCTGAGTTATTGAGCTACTCCCCAAGACTGCAAACAGTCTACTACGTCCTCCAGACCCCCATTTTTAAACTAGGGTCTAGAGAAGAGAAATGGGCTGTATAAGGCCATAAGTCAGCCAGGAACAGACAGGGTCTAAGTCTCCTCAGGAATGGGTTTTCCCAGGACTACTTGCCCAGGGGACTTACCCAAATACCCAAAGTCACCGTCCGGTCTCCGACGGACATCACCTTGGCCACGAAGGCGGCTCCGATGGTCTGCAACCACCGGGAAGCAATCAGGGCCGCGGGTGCGAGCTAGCCTTCTCCCCACCCCCCACCCCCCCCTGCCCAGTGTCCGGACCCGCAGGTCGCACTTACGTTCTGATAGGGTCCCACCAGGAAGCGGTTGTGCACGTATCGCTCCACCAGACTCGTCTTGCCCACGTACTCCTTGCCCAGCATCACCACCTTGACGTCCACACGCTGCCCACTCATGCTCCCGGGGCAGCCTCACCCGCGTCAGGGTCCTCAGCCCCTGCGCGAGGTAAACCCGGATCTCCGCTCTGGCAGGC